TTTTTAGGGGGGACGACCAAATACGTTTTGATCAAAAATTTACCATGCTTATGATAATTTTAAAATATCTTCAAGATTTCGAAGCATTCGGTTTTGTAGTTCCTGAGTAAATCAGTAAAATAAATTTACGCTTTCATTTATTTTCTTGAATCACCCTGTATATGCAAACCCAAAAAATATGAATGGAGTGATAGATCACAAGTACAGACTGATCATATTTTGTACATTTTAGATATGATTTATTCGGCAAATTTTCGAGCTGACGTCATCAAGTTTTTGGAGGGGATAAGCAAATATATTTTGACTAAACATTTATTATGCTCTTTATGACCTTAAAACATCTGCAAGATTTCAGAGCATTCGGTTTTGTAGTTCCTGATTAAATCAATAAAATATATTTACGCATTCATTAATTTTTTTGAGTCACCCTGTATATGCAAATCCAAAAAATATGAATGGAATGATAGATCACAAGTACAGACTCATCATATTTTGTACATTTTAGATATGATTTATTCCACAAACTTTTGAGCTGACGTCATCAAGTTTTTGGAGGGGATAAGCAAATATTTTTTGACTAAAGATTTATGATGCTCTTTATAGCCTTAAAACATCTGCAACATTTCAAAGCATTCTGGTTAGCAGATTAAAAATTAAATTTCAAAATGTTGTTTTATAATTTTGATTTTTTTTCCAAAAATCTGGACGTTTCGGGTGAAAAGTCGATTCAGAGTTGTAAACTACATGTGTAGGACTATGTTATTTTATACAATTGAAAACCCATTTACTATGTACAATTTTGAAGTGACGTCATCGCATTAGTGGTGGGGATGATTAGACAAATTTTGGTTAGCGTTTTACCATCTACATGATATTCTTAATATAAGTACAAAATTTCACAACAATCGGTCGAGTACTTTCGGAGATTATCTGTCTAATAAAAATCCGGGACGGCAGACGGACGGACAGACGGACGGACAGACGGACAGACGGACAGACGGACAGACGGACAGACGGACAGACGGACAGACGGACAGACAGACGGAAATGGGAGACCTATTTCTTCGTCTTCTAGGGGTCATGAAAGATCGAGAAAACGTAAAAGTAGAGAGTCGGCCGACGGACTCGATTACAATACTTCCTTTGCTTACGCTCGGGAAGTAACAATGTGACGACTATGTAGCACCACTGCTCTCAACTACATTACCTGGACCTCTAATGAAATTAATCACACTCCAAGATCGTGGAGGTTTACTGTATCTCAACGAACCTTTTGTAGGACTCGTCAAAAGAATTGCTGAAATAACTTGCATTTTCCGAGGTAAACCAGCGTTAGTTATTTAAAAAATTGGACTAAAGAGTTTAGACAGTACTTCCCTCGCAAAACGTGACGACTGCATGTCTATTATGTTTTTTTTTCGCAGTAGATTTCAAAGCATTCGGTTTTGTAGTTCCTGAGTAAACCAATAAAATAAATTTACGCATTCATTATCTTTTGAGTCACCCGGTATACGCAAATTCAAAAAATATGAATGGAATGATAAATTACAAGTACAGACTCATCATATTTTGTATATTCTAGATAGGATTTATTCGATTAACTCAATAAAATAAATTCACGCATTTATTAATTTTTTGAGTCACCCTGTATATGGAAATCGAAAAAATTTGAATGGAATGATAAATCACAAGAAGAGACCCACCATATTTTGTACATTTTAGATAGAATTTATTCAGCAAAATTTTGTGGTGACGTCATAATTTTTTTTAGGGGGGACGACCAAATACATTTTAATCAAAAATTTACCATGCTTATGATAACTTTAAAACATCTTCAATATTTCAAAGCATTTGGTTTTGTAGTTCCTGAGTAAATCAGTAAAATACATTTACGCATTCATTAATTTTTTGAGTCACCCTGTATATGCAAATCCAAAAAATTATAAATGGAGTGATAAATTACAAGTACAGACTCATTATATTCTGTACAGTTTAGATAGGATTTATTCGGCAAACTTTCGGGCTGACGTCATCAATTTTTTGGAGAGGATAAGCAAATATACTTTAACTAAACACTTATTATGCTCTTTATAACCTTAAAACATTTGCAAGATTTCAAAGCATTCGGTTTTATTGTAATCGTAATTTAATTGACTTTCCCAATCCGTAAAAAAAATATATGTAGAAATTAAAAATGCATTTGCGTCGAGACACTGACGATACATATGCGTCATATTTGCAATGTACTAAATTAAATTTCCCTTGAAGCTAAAAACAATGGCGTTTATAAAATTTCAATATCTCTATCCGTTCTGAAGTTATTAGGCCGCCGAGTTTTACCTGAGACACCTGTGTAGGTGTGTGTTTTTTTTCTTATTTTTATATTTAATATATAACCGCAATAGAATCATATTCGTTTTTATTATTTATTTCATAATGACCGTCCTCCGTTTGCGATATTTTTTATACAAAAGGGCAAAAAGGGTGTTATGTTTATGATCTTTCCCTAGAATTCTAAATACGCCAAGAGAGAATAATGCGGTATACAACAGGGATGCGGTGTTGAAATCGAGATTTGGCCCCGCCTCTCGGACAACCACCGTTTCACGTTTCACTAGATGAATTCTTCGCACACTGTGAAAAATTTTACAATTTTATGTACACTTTTTAGTGTCATTTTTTAATAATTTTAATCGGGAAAAAACTGTACGTTTTATTATTTTATTTTCTATGTCATGATGGGTTTAAAATTCGACGTTGTGACGAAATGCTAATATACATTTTATTTTTTATAGACAAACTATAAACAATTTGAAAAAAATGCTCCCATCAAAACATGAAAAATATTTTTTAGAACGGTTTTGTGAAAGCTGCATCTAGATAACTCAAATTATAACGGAAAAAAATTAACAAAACTGCATAATTCCACCGGAAAAGCAGCCTTAAGTATAAAAGTTTTACACGGTGTATGTCAAATGAGTTTTGTATACTTCAAATCTACCCTCTGGTGTGAGCAGTTCTCTTTCGGAAGCCACGATCAATTTTAGTGCGGGACAGAAGCTAGAACTATTTTGAAAAAAGTAAATACACAATTACTGTTCTTGACGAAACAATTGTCGATAATTCGGAAAAGATTTCATAATGCCACAGTTTTAAGAATTGTACAAAGATGATAATTCTTCACTAAATATCTAAACACATAGTTAAAAATCATTAAAAAAAAAAACCTCCTGTAATATTACTGCTGCAGTTTTTGTTAAAATTTATGCCGCATTTTGCAAACACTTAGATAATTTGACTTTAACAAGAAAAGTTGGTCTTCTCAGAATTGAATAGCTGCAATTCGGTAGATGAGTATGCATCGAACCAACCGCCCACAAGCTAGATGGTATAGGTTTCAAAATTCCTGATGAATTGGTAGGAACACTTATTCTTGCTGGTTTGCCTGAAGAGTACAAACCAATGATTATTACGGGCATAGAGACTTCAGAAACACCAATTAGAGCCGATTTAATTAAAACGAAACTACTGCAAGATATTCAGAATAGTTCAGCTGGAAATAGCTCCCACAATGCAGTAACCTCACTCTCACATAGGAGAACTGATCGTGACAAGGTTCGTTGTTATGCATGCAACAACTGTAACAGTAGGAACAAGAAATACAACAAAGGCATCGAGAGAAAAGAAATGAGAGATTGGAATAACGGGAAAGGTACGTCCAAAAACAAAGCAGAAAGCTCATTTTTTGCTTTTAGAGCCAGCAATCAGCAATACACTGATGCCTGGTATGTTGACTCATGCGCTTCATGTCACCGGATAGCAAATTCAGAGTGGTTGGAAAATCCAAAACAGTGCAGAAATACAGAAATCAGCGCCTCAGATAATTCCAAGATGGAAGCGGAAGCCGTGGGAAATGAAGGAGTTACAGTAAGCATTCAAACGAAGCAGTAACCGCGACCATAGCGTATTAGAGCTGATACATTCAGAAGTATGAGGTCATATGGAAATAAAGTCGATCGGTGGAGTCCGATATTTGCTTACATTTGTAGATGACTATTCAAGGAAGGTTTTTACTTATTTTCAAGAAAGCAAAGACCAAGTAACAGAAACTTTCAAAGACTTATTGCGAAAAGCAAGCATAAAACACAATTTAACAGTCCCATATAACCCGCAAGAAAAGCAAGAAGTATGCTCATTGAAACAGAACTCCCCACAGAATATTAGGCAGAAGCTGTGGCTACAGCAAACCATCTGATTAACAGGTCTCCAACACGAGCAGTTCCTTTAACTCCTGAAGAAAGGTGGAGTGGAATAAAACCTGACTTACGCCATCTTAAAGTATTTATATGCAAGATATTAGCTCATGTATCGAAAGAATTGAGAAAGAAATGGGACCCAAATTCTAAAGAGTATATTTTTGTAGAATATTTTGAAGATATCAAGAGATGCAGACTTATTGATCCCAAAACATATAAAATAGTAAATGGTATAGATGTAATATTCATAGAGCAGACAATTGAAAAAGAAATCAACTCTAGCGAAAATTCCCAAGTTATTCTAGATATAGCAGAAAGTGGAAAGCAACATGATGAATCGAGAACAGCGACAGTAAGCTCGAACACAAGCGAAAAGGGCGAAGAATCGGTGAAAAATACCAGTCAAGAACACTCAGAAATGGGAAGAACTGAAGCAGATGGCCCTAAAGATCCAGATTATTCACCAGTATTAGAGTATATTTTCTTTGTTAATGATCAAGAATTTAGCAAATCCAAACTTTGAAACAGAACAAGAAGACGTTTGTTTAGTACAGACACCACATAAAATTTTGTTACATATAGCCAAAATCTTATCAAATTTCGACTCTGTAGTACAGCGTGATTCAGAGTAAATGACGAATTTGACCGCTAACCACAAACGTATACTACAAAATATGTATAAAGTTAGCAAAACGTGAACACCCGGATAGTGTTATCAGTAGTAAACTGGTATCAGTGAAAAAGTGGACGTAAAAAATGAACCTTATTAACACCAATGCCATTCATACAACATAAATGTTACTTGTTAAAAACGTGAACAGTGAGTTCCATTATCAGACCAAAATGGCAACATTCTTCATATGTATGTAAGCGACAGCTACACGCGTTTATTAGAGCCACATAGAATTTTTTTGATTGCTGACTTCCGCTGTTTTATTTGACTTCACTTCTAAACAAAATCCTTAAAACATTTTAGTACCACCTTTGCAAACCAAAACGACTAAAGGTCGATATTTTTCAATGGATTCACCGCGAACAAAAAAGATTATAATTAATAAGACGTCGAAAAATGGTCATCCCAAGGAGGAGGCAAATTTCTTGTCACACTTTTTATTCTGGTGTAGATTGTCCACAGGTTTAGCTAGATTATATCCTCAAATTTTAGTTGGCAGTTAAAAACAGTTTTCAAGTGTTGGAAAAATGGTGTAACTGACGACAACTTCACAACACCGATAAGAGATCATGAGTCACAACTAGTAGGAGACAGACTTGAAGCACTATGGAATAAAGAAAATATTTCAAGAAAAAAACCATCTTTTACCAGAGCATTGGCACAGTTTTTGGGTATCAAATATGTGCTTCTTGGACTACTTTTTTCTATAGTAGATACACTATCAATGTAAGCATAAAAACATGCCTGTAGATCGTTAATACCTAGTGACGTAAAACATGACCTTATGTTTAAACAATACAACTTTAGATCTCATTCACATTAACACAACTGAAAATACACGTCACAAAAACTAAAATTTAACAACTGTAATTCAAATCATAATAATAATAATAATCATCATAATCATCATAATCATCATAATCATCATAATCATCATCATCAGAATTACATAGTGCTTTATAGAAAATTTATAACGTAACCAAAGCGAAAGCTTCTCTAAAAATAGGTTGGAAAAATAGGCTATTATACTTATTTACTAGGGTAGTAAATTTTGTGATATGCGGTTGTCTAGTTCTTCGTTGCAAATTATCCTCCAGAATGGCTTCATTAGGCTATAAATCGGGTTCCAAAATTAGATCAATATATATAACATATAACTATATTTAAGATGTCAAATTGACGCAAACGAATACAACCATAGGCAGTTGCCACTAGTAAATTTGTATACAGACTATCACATTTTCCAAAATCCTAATCGACTACTACTGACCGACAAAAAACCAGCCACCCTGAAAAATTTCGCAAAACCAACCTTTAAAAAGTATTAATATAACTCTGTACCTGAGAGCGCAAAGTGCATAACTCCATTTTTACATAAAATTGTCTAATTCAGGTATTTACAATTTTTTATTTGTTATATTCAATATTTTGTATTATATATTTAGAATAAGCTAATAATTTGTCTGGTATGTAAAACGAGCCACAAATAATTGCTCTCACTGAAAACTGACAATTTGGAGTTACGCACTTTGCGCTCGCAGGTAAAGAACTAGTGATCGCTATTAGGAGGTTTTACCCACACGGAAAGTAGCCCGTGCAATGGGTTATGATTTTTCGCATCACTGATTTATTATTGCTTAAAAATAGTTGAAAATTTAACTGAGTGTTGTCAAAGGATGTGGCATTTTGCCACCGTTCGAATTTTTTAAATCTAATAAGTAGCTGTTGCAATAAAAATTCACAAAATCACATAAAATTGGCTTAAAAGAAGCGTTTGTAACTCGGCAATTAAGTGACGCCTTCGAAAAATTCAAATGGAGGCAGCAAGATCAATGTTTCGTAACTGTCTATATAAAATTGCGACGTTGTAAATTAGAAAATGTTGCTGTAAGACGAAAAATCAGAGCGCATGTTTTCGGACAAAATGTAAACCGATTTCTGCTCGCCCTCACTCTGGTCAGGTGAGGAAAGACGCTGAGCGGGGGCTCACATCTGCTCCCACTCTAAAACTCAAAGCATATCCACGACGAGATCGTATTTTGAAATACTTTTGTCACATTATGATCGGCGCGGCGGAGCGTTACAAGTCAGCAACATAAAAAATCTTTCCAGAAATAGTCTTATATCTCCAGTGCTTTAGATTTAATTGAAACACAGCAATTTGGGAGCCGGAATAGATACTTCCATCGTAAATATATAAACTATTTTAATGGAAAGAAAATAATAATAAAAAATTGGTCGAAAGTTGTTTCGAGAGAACTTCCCTCGCTCCTGAAGTACAATAAAACATATCAAGCATTTTCGAGTTGAATTTTTTCTTTACACAATTTTGTGATGACGTCTTCAACATTTTTACAAGGACACGTACATCGACTTAGATTGGTGCAATGTAAAATAAATTGACGTATTCATTTTTTTTTTGAGTCACCTGTTTAAGCAAATCTAAAAAATTAGTCGAAAGTTATTTCGACAGGACTTCCCTCGCCCCCGATGTACAGTGCCACAACTCCCGCTTCTTTGAAAAATTAAAAAATTTGATTTTTTGTTATAAACATTTTTGAGATGTCATGACATTGATAGGGAGATTGGGCAACTTTTGGTTAGCTTTTTACCATCTACACGATATTCTTAACATACATATGTACAAAATGTATAAAATACAATCGGTCCGGTAGTTTTGGAGATTATCTCCCTAATAAAAGTTTGAACAGACGATACGCAGACTGAGCCACGAAACCTGATTTTTCATACTCTATGAGTCATGAAATGTCGAGAAAACATAAAAATAACCAGTCGCCTCCCGATAGACTCGATTACAATACTTTCCTTACTTACGCTCAGGAAATAAAAATAAAATTTGCAAAATTAAATTTTATAATTTGTCGAACATTTTGTATTTCATAGAACGTGTATTACCACAACACCGAAAACACACAAAATATTTGTCGACGACATGAATAAAAACTTTTACACCGAAAACATTAACTGTGAGTTATTTATAAACAACGATATTGACGGCGCCGTAAATACTTAGGTATTTAACGTTTCCGACCTATTTTAAGGTTACTATGGCAACGGAAAGCTAAAAGCACGTGTGCTGAAAGTTTGACCTATCGCATCCTGATGAATGCGCGAAAGTCATCAAAAAAGGTCATGAGGGCAAAAAAATATATTTACAGCATATTAATAACGGGAATAAAGCTAAATGTGGTTATTATTAGTATTACACTGCACCCATCCACACTGATATACTAGGTGTCCTTCCAAAAATGTTGATGACGTCAACAGAAAACTTTGTGATGGAAACATTGACTTGAAATATAAACATAGCATGCTTCTTTAGCTTTATTTTAACATTATATACATATTTTTAATTTAACTTACAGGGATTATCGTAAAAAAGTAATGATAGTTGCAAAATCAAGTCTTAGAATTTTCCGAAGAAGTTGGATATGTTGTACTGTTCTGCAGGGACGAATTATTTTTAAATTTTCCGAGTAGTGGGACGTGAATCATCTTACTATATATGTTACAGCTAATATCCGAAATACGTTATTATGCATAATAACTAGATATTTGGGAATTATGCGTAACAACTAAACTTGTCAGTTATTATGCATAATAACCGGAAACATTAGGAATTATGCGTAATAACTGAATTTTTCAGTTATTATGCACAATAACGGAAACGTTTAGGTAATATTGATAACAACTAACAGAGGAACAGGAATTATGCATAATACCTGAAACATTAGTCATTAAGCATATTGTCTAATAGGCCAGGGCCGATAATTTTTGAGAACAAAAAAATTTAGAACAGGATGATACCCATTGGAAAAGGAAGAAAATATAACAAAAATAAAAGGAAAAATAATTTACGGGCGATCTGAGGTCGGGAAGTCGAAGAGGGTGAGCTTTTAAGGGTAGAAAACGGTTTATCACGATTTCCGGCAAAACTACAAGTCCTATCGAAAAAAGTTAAATGGCAAAGTTCTAGGTAATAAAAGGATCTACAACTTTTGTATTTAGACTTTTTTTAAATAACCTCAAAATTTATGCGAAAAACGCAAATAACCGAGTTTTTGGTTTTTTATTTTTATCTCCCACAAAAAAGTTTTTTTTCACGAAATTTGGTGAAAACTCACCTATTTATGTCCCAAAATCACTGTAATTTTTTTGATTGAAAATATTTATTTTTCTCCCTTATTTTGATTTAATATCGAAAAACCACCCTAATTTTCAATCGAAAATTCTCACGTCAAAATGTTTGTTTTTTAAAAAAAATCGGTGTGCTTTCTGTTCGTTGAAATCTCTACTTTCTGATGGTGTAAAAAAAAGTATGCATTACTATGGCAAATTTTCACAGGAAATCCAAAAAAACGAAAAACTCGAATTCGAATTTTTTTTTAATCATGTAAAATTTGGAGCTATTTATTAAAATTTACACTTTAATTACTCGAAAAAAGTAAGATTCCATGTTACACTGATAAACTCAAAAATTTAAAATCCATGAAACAAACGCCTTCTGTTGGTGGGAGATTTGTCAATATGAAAGATGATTTAATTCTTGCCAATTGATTTTCGAAATCTTAATTGATTCAGTGTTTATATTATCATTTTTACATTTATAAATACATTTGATTAATTGTAATCCATTTTTTGCGATATCTTCTTTGTTTGCATGTTTTTATAAAAAATATTGTCCAAATTTGACAAATTTTTATCATCTGACTAGCAGACCCAGTGAATATTTTAGTAGTTAAATAAAAAATTAAAACAAAATAAATAAATTATAATTAAATTAAATTATATATTATACATAAAAATTTATCGTACGACAATGATTATTATATTCAACAGCCATCTTGAAACCTGCCTTGCGTATCTGTGGATGAAAGTAAAGATACTAATATCGTTACTACAAAATGAGGGTTGGTGGTAGAAGGGTGAAAATTTAGGGTTAATTGTATTTTTTGAAGCCAAATCTTAAAAAATAAAAATAACAAATTTTGTCCGAAAAATAAAAAAAAAATTTTTGGATGGACCACTCTTTTATCATCTAGGGGTATAAAAAATAGATAGATTTTGAGGAAAGAAAGTGTAAATACAAAAGTTGTAGATCTTTTTATTACCTACAACTTTGCCATTTAACTTTTTGCCGGAAATCGTGATAAACCGTTTTCTACCCTTAAAAGCTCACCCTCTTCCCCTTCCGGACCTCAGATCGCCCGTAAATTATTTTTCTCTTTATTTTTGTTACATTTTCTTCCTTTTCCAGTGGGTATCATCCTGTTCTAATTTTTTTTTCACTTTTTACCATTTTCAAAGGCTTATAACATGTCCAGCTGATTTCAAAAAAACGGGACAAGATGAGCAATTCAGGTTCTCATAGATCAATGAAAAGCAATGGGAATATGACGTTTATATAACTGTAATTTGTCCCTTTTTTTTTAAATCAACTGTACATGTGGTATGCAGGAGAAAGCGAGGCAGGGTGGGTAGCTTTTTGGAAAATATGCATAATTCCTGTTTCTGTGTTAGTTATTATCAATATTACCTAAACGTTTCCGTTATTATGCATAATAACTGAAAATTTCAATTATTACGCATAATTCCTAATGTTTCTGGTTATTATGCATAATAACTGATAAGTTTAGTTATTACGCATAATTCCTAAAATGTCTAGTTATTATGCATAATAACGGATTTCGGATATTAGCTGTAACATATACACTGACGGGCAAAAAATCCGGCCACCCTGAAAAATTTCGCAAAATCAAACTAAAAATTATTAATTTAACTAGTGATCGTTATTTTATTAAAGAACCATTCACTATTCACAAATGATGTATAAATTAGCAAAAAAAAAGACAAATAAACGCAGAATTAAATTAAATTTAACAAAACAGAAACAGCGACAATTTGAGAGACGTCTGTAAGAGTTAACGGCATTGTTTTCGCGTGAAAACGTTTATTAACTGCCAAACTTATAATCAAATGATGAAAAACACTGTTCACAGCAACAGCCTTCTTTATTATTTTGTTTAAGAAAATATCGTACTTGGTCTGTTTTTGTTATTTTGTTAAATTTAATTTAATTCTGCGTTTATATATCTTCTTTTTTTGCTAATTAATTACAACATGTATCAATAGTGAATAGTACTTTAATAAAATAACGATCACTAGTTAAATTAATAATTTTTAAAGTGGTTTTGTGAAATTTTGCAATTTTTTTGCCGGTCGGTGTAGATGGTAGTTATTTTTTTTTTGTTACTGTTCATTTACACTTTGACGTTTTGGTATTTTGTTCGTATAAGTTCTTCTAAATAAAAAAACATGAACCTTTTAAAGAATATTTTTCATTTAATATATTTTTTTATGTTAAATTATTATTATGTATTATGTTAAATTTTAACTTATTAAATTGTATTCCCTCTGTCCGAAAATATGGTATACATTTTACAAAATTATTATAATTAACGAGTGATGACCAGCAAACTATAATCAAGTAATTTTGTTTGCAACTTGTATAATAATGGAACATCATATAAATAGTGGACTGAGATCTACGTTCGTTTCTGTTAAAAAAGTGACCAAGAAAATTACTACAATAACAATAAAATAAATCGACACAAGAATAATTAAATTAAATAAATTATTTATTATAATAAGTAAGGTTACCAATGAGATTGCTATGTTCCCCAGATGCTCTAAATAAAGTCCCATTGCATATACATTGAAATGTATTGTCTTTATAATAGTATTATTAAATAAAGTTACAAGTGTATACCATATTTTCGGACGTAAAATTAAATTTTGTTATCGACAACTCGACACGATGTTCCCCTGACTTATTCGTAACCTTGAGCCTTGAAATTGTAAAATCTACTACACCAGTGTGAAACATGAAACTGATATCTTTGCCGGCCTGGCGGCGTTCCTTCACTCTGCTGGAAATACGTCAAGACACGGAGTTGAACGACGGTGCCCGAACTAAGTTGAATCTTTCTGTGTTTGCTTTGACTACCGGTCACCTTGCCCCCCGAAAATGTTTACGTCCCTCAAAATGCACAGATGTCACAGTCCGAGAAACGAATGAATGGCTTGACTAAAACCTCCTCTTAAAGAACCATTCACTATTCACACACAATTGATCAATATTTTGTGAAATTCAATTTAATTCTGTGTTTATATATTGTTATTTTTCAAGGTGGCCAGTTTTTTTTGCCGGTCAGTGTATTTAATACTGTTACATATTCCCCTCAGCATAGACGTCACTAGCTGTAAATAAATGCATGCCAGTAAATAATGACTTTAAGAAAACAGATATTCACTAAAAATTCCGACTATTGCAGGTTCCTTCAATCCCTATATCTGGGTAAACTATTGGAATATTTCTCAGAAAACAAAAAACTTACGGCCAAAGAAGCATATATTTATGGACTGGCCGTTGTTTTATCTATTTTACTTCGAGTGATAAGTTTCCAGTTCCATTATTTGGAAATTTTCAGTACTGGTTTGAAAGTTCGTACATCTTGCTGCTCTTTAATATATAGAAAGATTATAACTTCGAAATTCGCCACTATACAAAAAAATTCTTTAGCACATATATTAAACTTGTTCTCTACCGACCTTGACAAATTTGAGACGGTTTTTTGTTATTTTCACCGTATGTGGAGCGCTATTTTGAAAATCATCGTAGCAACATTGTTGTTTCTTTCATTGTCTAGTTATCAAGGGGCCGTTGGAGTGGGAATAATAGTAATTTTTTCACTTTCTCAACGTTAGTATATTTTTTTATCATTTTTTCAAACGTAACCTATCGATATTTCAGATTTTTTTTTCACGAGAGCTGCTGCTCGAAGAGAAAAAGTGACCAAAGAAAGAGACAGTCGGATACACATAATGAACGATATTATTTTTAGAATGAGAGAAATCAAAACGTATGCTTGGGAGACGCCTTTCGCTGAACTCATAAATAAAATTAGGAGGTTTTAATTTCTAAAATCAAGTCACTATTATTAACTGGTTAAATTTCAGATGTGAAGTTACACATATGAGAAAACTGAATCACATATGGAACGAAAACAATACAATTGCGGCGTACATTCACAAAATATCTATTTACGTTTTTATTATACTTTTAGCAACGACTGGTACTCCTTTAAACCCACAGTTGATTTTTATGTCTGTAAATATTTACAATTTACTTAAGATATCGGTGCAACATTCAATTATTGCCGTTAATTTAATGTCAGATCTGAAAGAGTGTATAACCCGTATCGAAACATTTTTGCTTTCGGATGATGAATCAAGAGTTGACACAGAAAAAATAGAAGGTATAGCATGTTGTAAAATATATGCTCATAATTTAACAGCTAAATGGAACCCATCACAAAACGCGGCTATAAAAGACATAAATTTTATACTTAGTGGAGGTCAGCTGGTTGCTGTTACCGGAAACACAGGGAGTGGAAAGTCTTCTTTGCTCCAAACTATATTACAAGAACTATTTATAGTTGACGGAATTCTCTCCCAGGATGGTTTGATATCTTATGCATCACAAAATCCATGGATATTCTCGGCAACCATCCAAGAAAACATCATATTTAATGAAACCTTTAACCAGAACAAGTATTTGAATGTTCTTAAAATTTGCGCTTTAGAATATGACATATCTCTTTTTTCCCATGGAGACCAAACACTGGTAGGAGAAAGAGGAGCTATGTTAAGTGGGGGCCAAAAAGCCAGAATTAACTTGGCACGAGCTATATACAAAGATGCAGACATCTATCTTTTAGATAATCCTCTAGCGGCAATGGATGTATCTGTCGCTCAACAAATTTTTACTCAGTGTATTTTGCAATACCTAAAAACCAAAAGTGTTTTACTAATAACACACAATTTAAAATTTCTCAATTATTCCGACAAAGTATATGTTCTAGAAGACGGGAAGATAAAGTTTTTCGGAAAATATGAAACACTAGAAGAGACACCAAATAGCATACAAGAATACAATAACAAAACAGTAACAAAACTTTCTGAAAAAAATTATAAAGCCCAAATTGAAACTAAAGAACATAGAGGTAGTCATAAAGTCAACACATATACAACATATTTATTTGCCAATAAAAGCAAGTTCTTCGTTTATCTTCAGTTCTTCCTTTTCATTTTAACTCAAGTTTTTATAAACGGTTCAGACGCGTTTTTGTCTTTCTGGATCAATTTGCGGCAAAATCCTACTAGTTTTAACACAACACTACTACAATACTTTTCCGAAGTTAAATGTTTGTACATTTACAGTGGATTTATTCTAATAATGGTATTTTTGTTTCACGTGGGTTCGCTAAATTTTGTAGAATGCTGTAATAACTGCTCCGTTAAGCTGCACGATACGTTGTTCAACAAAATTCTGTATGGGACTATGAATTTCTTCGACAACCATGCATCTGGTCGAATTATTAATAGAATTTCTGGTGATATAAATACAATCGATGAGATCATCCCCAAAAACATGTATCAAGTTGCGAGACATGTTTGTTCTATGTTAGGTGTTTATGTCGTTGTCAGTGCTATAAATTATTACATGATTCTCCCAACACTAATTTTGTCGGGAATTTTTTATTACTGTCTACAAGCTTTCCGACCAGTACTTAATAGCTTGAAGAAAATCGCTGCCACACGTAAATCTGTAGCAAAGATATAGTACTATGTCTTTAAACTAATTTAATTTTTTAGGTAAAAGTCCTATTTATAGTCACGTGGTTACTACCATTGACGGATTGACAACCATCAAAGCTTCAAAGGCCCAAAAACATTCTTTGTCAAAATTTGAACGTCATCAAGATTCTTATAACTCCATTAAGTATCTGCATCAAGCTCTGGATAGTTCTTATGCTTTTTGGACAGAGTTCACGTGCATGTTATATGTAGCTGTTGTCATATTCTTTCTAATAATCTTCAAAAAAAGCAAGTAATTAAGTATCTACATCGACGGTATCCTTATGCTCGTTTTTTAGGTGATATGGTAGGAAACGTTGGATTATCCATTACACAATCCCTCTTATTGACTTCGTCGATACAGTACATGATCAGGATTTATGGTGATCTTGACACACAGATGACTTCAGTTGAAAGAGTCGTGGAATATGATGACCTAACAATTGAAGATATTAATAAAAGTGAAGTTAATCCTCCTACCACATGGCCTGCAGAAGGCAAAATACTATTTCAATCGGTCTCCATGCGATATTCTCCAGAAAAACCGTATATCCTCAGAAACGTCGATGTGGAAATTCACTCTGGTGAAAAAATAGGAATCGTCGGCAGAACTGGTGCTGGAAAATCATCTTTAATAAATGCACTCTTTCACCTGTACGAATACGAAGGAACAATATTAATAGACAACGTCGATATAAAAATGGTTCCTCTTGGCACTCTGAGATCTCGAATAGCGACTGTTCCTCAAGATCCTGTTCTTTTTTCAGGTACTATACGCGAAAATTTAGATCCTTTCAAGGAATTCACGGACTGCCAGTTATGGAATGTTCTGGAAGAAGTGAATCTAAAACATATTGTTTCAAATTTACCCTCTGGTTTGAGCAGTTCTCTTTCGGAAGCCGGAGTCAATTTTAGTACGGGACAGAAACAACTAATGTGTTTAGTTAGAGCTATTTTGAAAAAATCCACAATTATTGTTCTTGACGAAGCAACTGCCTTTCTTGACTTAGACACCGACAAACTAATTCAAGCTACAATTCAGAAGATATTTCATAAGGCAACAGTTTTAAGAATTGCACATAGACTGGACAGTGTGATGCATTCGGATAAGATTTTGGTTTTAGACGATGGTTGTGTTGTGGAATTTGGCACCCCGAATGAACTTCTACAAAACGTAGATGGTTATTTTTACAAATACGTCCACGAATATGAAAATTCTTCATTAAACAATCAGACTTCCATTTGAAAATTTAAGTTGAAATAACGCGGGATTTTTGTAAAATAATGTTTGTAATTTTTTTATTATGTTATTATAAGCACTTTCGCTTAATCTCCTTCTATTTTTTTCTTGTTAATTATCTGAATTTGTGATAAAATGAAAACCAGAGAAAAATTCCGTTTTTGAAACCGCAAAACTGAACTGTTTCCTATAATTATGGTGGCGAGAAAAGTAAGTGTGGTCAACAAATACGTGACCACATGATCAAAACAAAGTACCTATATTTTAAGAGTAACGACCACAAGTGATTAAAGGAACAAAATGCCATCAAATAGTATAATTTTATTGTACAATTTTACCAACCACTTGGATAGCTGAACAGGAAAATGCTTTAAACTCTTTATCGACTGTTTATTTTTTTATCTTTTTTACTACGAAAGTGTTTTTAATGCGGTCACAGCCATGAATATGGGTCTACATTTCTATTCAAATGTTATTCACACTTTTGTCAGTTGAGTTAACAATACGTTTTTGAAAACGGTAGTAACTATCGAAATTATTATTTATAAAACTAAAATGGACTTCGACAAACCATACAAAAAATCCACTAATCCGGAGAGAAAAGGCAACTGGTTTTTGAATTTATTTTTTATGTTGGTTAACAAACAACTGGAAAAGTAAAACTTGAACTATATGAATAAATTTAAATTACAGATATACAAAGGATACTTTCGTCAAGGGCTGTAGAACCGAGTTAACTCAAAATGATATATACGAAGTGCTTCCAGAGCATAAGTCGCAAACATTAGGAAATAAATTAGAAAATGAGTGGAAGACACAAATGGATGAAAATAACGCATCTATACCTATACTTCTCTGGAAATGTTTTGGCAGACAATATCTTTTAATATTAATCAGCTTGGTCATCCCAGTGACAATGACGTATTTACGATAACGCATTAATCATTTCACCTCCCCTTTAATCATTTGTTTAGGTTGACGCAACCAAAGATACTAAAAAAATTCATTTCCTATTTTACTCCAAGACACAATAACTTAAGCAGAACTGATGCGAGCTTGTATGGAGTATTGTTGATCGTAGTGATGCTTATCAGACGTGTGTACCAATACAACTTTCATCTGAGGCTTACAGAATTGGGCATTCAATTACGCACAGGATTCACATCTTTAATCTACAGACAAGCTTTAAAAATTAACCCGACGCTAGTTGAAAATGGCAAAATGATAAATCTGATAACCAGAGATGTGAGTGAATTTGAAGAAGCTATATATAAAATAACCAACTTGTTAAGAGATCTAACTAAGCTTGTGGCAGCATGTTTTCTCCTATATACAGAAATTGGATGGTTATTTCTTATACTCCCGACAATAGTTCTTATTAGCATATTCGTCAACAGTAAGCAGGCAAAAACTAAAATAATCATTTAGCTTTTAATTTCTTTTCAGCATGTTTAGCAGTTTTAGTGCGTAAATTTAAATTGAAATCTTTGAAGAAAACTGATGGAAGATATCAAATAATAAAAGAAGCATTAAGTGCAATAAAAGTCATCAAAATGAACCTTTGGGAAGAAAGTTATGAAAAGAAAATTGCTAAAATCAGAAAGTAAGGACGTAAACAAATGACTAATTGTTTGTGTGTTTTTTTCTTTCTTTATTTATAGTGAAGAAGTTCATTTTATACGCAACGTAAATATACTGTTTTTTCTAAAGTTAGTCCTTTCTGAATCAATTCACAATGCGTCGTGGTACATAATAGTGGCACTCTCCATTTGGTTTAAGATCCAATCAAATGCCGGGACATTATTTCTTATAATGAACAGTCTAACTTTTGTTTCTTATGGCTTAAAAATCAATTTTCCAACAGCCATACATGAAATAGCTACATTGATTGCTGTATTTAAACGAATTGGAAAAACACTGCGAATTAAAAGTGATGAATCATACGTGGAAGAAAATAAGCTTTCACCAAGAATTAAGTTGAATTTAAAAATTCACACTGCACATAATCACACACTAATAAATTTGAAAAAGTGTAACATTGTAAGAGGAATAACAGCAGTAACAGGACCTATTGGCAGTGGCAAAACTCTTCTGTTGAAAGTCCTCACAAAAGAATACAAAAATATAGAAGGCGATTTAGAAGTCGTCGGCAGCATTTCTTACGCATCTCAAGAACCCTGGCTTTTTCCATCGACCATCAAACAAAACATTTTATTTGGAAGTAGTTACGACGAAAATCGCTACTTAGAGGTTTTAGGAGTTTGTGCTCTACTTGAAGAATTACGACTTTTGACCGATGGTGATTCTACTATCGTAACTGACGGAGGAGCTAATCTAAGTAAAGGACAAAAAGCTAGAATAAATTTAGCGCGAGCTGTTTATAAAGAACGTGATATATATTTATTAGATGATTGTCTGGCTAGTTTGGATGCGATTGTTGCGGATCTTGTATTTGAACAATGCATTAAAACATTTCTGAAAGGCAAAATAGTGATCTTGGTTACTCCATCCATAAAGTACGTCAATAAGTCAGATAACGTCATTACACTGAAAAATGGTGCAATGGAAAATTCCCACCCTGTCCACAGTAAATCTCCAAAAAATGAGGGAACTAAAAGTATGAAATATATTGAAAAAGATAAAGCAAAGAGCAAAACAGAAGAGTCATTTGCGGAAGACAACGTTGACCATGAAACTCCACTGATTAAAAACACCAACGAGACCAGAGAACTCTACACAGAAACAAAAGTACAAGGCAAAGTACAATTCGATACTTATAAAAACTATATTAAAGTGAATGGGGGCATGGTCAAAATTGTTTTAGTCTTACTTATCACTGGAATAATACAGTTTTTGAAAAGTTCCATCAATAAAATGGAATCCGTTTGGTAAGACTGAAATTTGATAATTTCCTCTTATTGACTTGAACTTGTAGGATAAATGCAGAACAAGTATTGTTTAGCAATGCCACAACAAAGGAAATATATATTGAGGCAAATCAAAAACGTCACCAAATGTTAATTCTTCTACCTATAATTATTTCATCTACGACTATATTAATGTTATTAAGTACATGTTTTTTCTATGTGCTTGCTGCCAAAGCTTCTCGAAAGCTTCACAATTTACTTTTTTCTAATGTGGTTCGCACTTTCATGCAATTCTTTGACAACAATCGAATAGGAATTATATTGAATAGATTTTCAGAAGATATACTGTATATTGATGAAATAGTACCCTTAACGTTTTTTCAGCTAATGGGTGTAAATAGGTTAATTTTGTAAAGTAGTTTATAATATTCCTGAATTTTAGTATTTTGCCGGAACAGTTGGAGTTATTATTCTCATAGCTACAGTTAATGCAACATTTCTAATCCCATGTGTGCTGATTAATATATACATGGTTCTGGTACAAATGTTCTACTTAAAAATTGGGAATGCTTTAAAGCGACTCGAATTCTTAAGTATGCGTAATTCTAAAAATCTTTAAAATGATAATTCTTATTATGTTAGCACGAAGTCCTGTAATTGGGTATATCAATACAACTTTAGACGGATTGACAACCATAAGGACCTCAAAAATTCAAGATACACTGCGAAAAGAATTTGACCAACATCAAAATTTGTATGCTTCCTCTTCTTATATGTACGCATGTTGTGAGAAAGCATATCTTTTTCTGATAGGAGCCGACCAAATTATTCTCCTTATTTTCGCAATTATCCTTTTCTTAGCAATAGATGACAGTAAATAGAATTCTTGAAAGTTAAGTAACATTAATTAACAATATTTTTTAGAAATGACATCAGGGAAAGTTGGACTTGTTTTGTCACAAATATTTAGTCTGTCAAGTGCACAGCATTTCTTTTATCGTATGATGACTAGACTGGAGAATCAAATGATAACAGTAGAAAGAGTTTTGGAGTACACTAAACAAAAACAAGAAAGCAAAGATGGTTTAGTAATAGAACATTGGCCAAAGGAATGTGAAATACGATTCAAAGACGTCTCCCTTTCTTACAAGAGCGACCAAGACCATGTTTTAAAACATTTAAATTTCGCCATCAAAAATAAACAAAAGGTAGCCATCGTTGGTAGGACGGGTTCAGGAAAAACATCACTGATTTCTACACTCGTCCGACTTTACGATTTCGAAGGAAACATTTTTATTGACAACGTAGACATCAAAACAGTTCCAGTGGATTTCCTCAGGTCAAAAATATCTGTAATTCCACAAGAACCTACTATATTTTCGGGAACGTTACGTGAAAATGTTGATCCTACAGGACAACATTCAGACGATGATATTTGGAAAGCTATTTCAACTGTGAATTTGTCACTCTTTCAAAGTTTGGATGATAAAATTGACACGAATTTAAGCATTTGTGAAAAACAACTCATTTGTGTGTGTCGAGCTCTCGTTAGGCGAAACAAAATCGTAATTTTTGACGAAAGTAATGCCAGTGTGGATTCCGATACTGAAGCATTGATACAAAAAATAATAACAGATAATTTTGCCGAATATACAGTTATTGCAATTATGCACAAATTGCGTTACATTTTAGATTTTGACCTAGTATTAGTTGTGGATAAAGGTGTGATTATTGAGTCTGGTGATCCGTCTAGCTTGCTGAAGAAAAAAAATGGGATGCTTAGCAACTTGTTTAAGCGGCAATGAAATGGTAAAATTAAAAACCTGTTAAAAACCATAAAACGAAACAACTACAACAACAAATAAGTAGACGACCGACAACTAGAGGGTTAATTTTATTCAAATATTTAAATAATCTATGTTTTATTGTGTAAATTTTAAGCGAGAGTTGCTGACCAGAATAATCTACGTATAATTTTCAAAATGTGTTAGACATAGCCAGGTGTGTAAGTAGTAAAAACTAATAAATATTAGTCTTTTTTTATTAGACCCATTCAGAAATAACTATTACTTATAAATAATGCTGTCTTGCCAAAATGCGTAAAAGCTGTATGTAACTGTCTGAGAGCTCCAAAAAATAAAAAAAATTATTTTAATTCTAAAAGCAAGACAAGGTTAGATAAAGATAAGGAGAGTAAAGGACCTAAGTTCGTTCCTTGTGGCATGCTGCTGTTACCTTGACTAATGATTGTGCTCACAAAAATATGAGCCTTAAAATTAGAGATGTAGAAACGTCGAGCTTCAAGCTGTGTGCGTAAAATAGGGATGGAACAATAGACTATAATTGTACAAGTATATTTTTTTACAAATTTTGGAATGATGTAATAAAAAAATGTTTATCATAATCTTGATAAACTTAAAACTTTTGCATTCGGTTTTGCAATTTCAAACTCGAGTTATAAAATGTAGTTATACTATTTTCATTTTTTTTTTCCAAAAAAACTACAAGTGAAAGAAATAGATTGCAACACGTCCTTAGCTTACGCTCGTAAAGTAAATAAAAATAGTAAACTTTCTCGTAATTATGTAACACGTGCTGAAATTGTAAACCTTGTGGAATTCCAACGTGCAATTTTTATCGAAACTGTCAGGATAATTTGACCGTGTATCGGAAAAATTGTCTTGTTTTTATTTGAAAGCGTTAACAATATGTTCAAATATTATCAGCTTATCACGCACATAAGTGCATACGGCATACCAAGCTAAATAAATACTTAAATATTATTCACACTTCCCTTAAGTAACACAGAGCTACGTGGCGATAAATGAATGAAAAAATAATTTTTAGTAGGGCTAATATCGTACAACTTCCACTTAAACCAAGAGAAGCATTGTTTACATCATATAAAGATTAAATGGACTATTGCAAGCCAAACAAAAAATCCGCTAATCCGGAGAAAAACGGTAACTGCTTTTTGAATTTATTTTTCTTGTAAGTTGAGAATCAACTCGATAAACCAAAACTTAGACTGTGTAAGTAATTTAAAATTTTAGATATACAAAGGACGTTTTCATCAATGGTTACAAAACTGAGCTCACACAAAATGATATATACGAAGTGCTTCCAGAACACAAATCAAAAACATTAGGAGATAAATTAGAAAAGGAATGGAAGAGGCAAATAAATGAAAATAAGATATCTATACCTAAATTTTTTTGAAAATGTTTTGGCAGACGATATTTTTTAATACTAATCAGCTTGGTCATTCCAATGACAATGACGTATTTACGCTAACGTAGCAATAATTTCACCTCATTTTTAATTGCTTGTTTAGGTTAATCGGACCAAATATACTAAAAAAATTCATATCATATTTTACACCAGAGCACAATAACCTAAGCAGAACGGATGCCAGTTTCTATGGAGTACTATTGATTTTAGTGACAGTTATCAGACGTGTGTACCTATACAATTTTCAGCTCAGACTTTCAGAATTTGGCATTAAACTGCGTACTGGATTCACATCTTTAATTTACAGACAACTTTTAAAAGTCAACCCGTCATTAGTTGTCAGTGGTAATGTGATAAATCTGATAACCAGAGATGTGAACGAATTTGAAGAAGCGATATATAGAATAACCAACACGATAAGAGACCTGTGTGTGCTTGTGACAGTTTGTTTACTTCTATATTCAGAAAATGGGTGGTTATTTCTCATACTCATCGCAATAATTTTTGTTATCATGTTGATCAACAGTGAGCAGATAAAGACTAAGTAAATGATGTACCTTTTAATTTTTTTCAGCATGTCTAGCTATCTCAGTGAATAAACTTAAACTGAAATCTTTGACCAAAACTGATGAAAGATATCAGTTAATAAAAGAAGCATTAGGTGCAATAAAAGTCATAAAAATGAACCTTTGGGAAAAAAGTTATGAAAAAAAAATTGCCAAAATCAGGAAGTAAGTAAGCAGGTAAACAAATATCTGATTGTGTGTTTTTTCTTCATTTATAGTGAAGAAGTTCATCTTATACGCAATGTAAACATACTGCTATTTCTAAAATTAGTACACTCTGAATCAATTCACAACGCATCGTGGTATATACTTGTGGCAGTATCCATATGGTTTAGGATCCAATCAAATGCCGGAACGTTATTTCTTATAATGAACAGTCTAAATGCTATTTCTGGTGCTTTAAATCGCAATTTTCCAGCAGCGTTGCACGAAGTAGCTACATTAATCGCAGTATTTAAACGAATTGGACAGACACTTCGAATAAACAGTGAAGAATCATTAAACTTTGAAGACAACAATTGTGCACGAAAAATTAAACTGAATCTGAAAATTTACACTGCAAATAACGATACACTATTAACTTTGAGAAACTGTAACATTGCAAGAGGAATAACAACAATTAGAGGGCCTGTTGCAAGTGGTAAAAGTCTTTTGCTAAAAGTTATCATTAAAGAATACAGAAATATAGAAGGCGACTTAGAAGTCGTTGGGAGCATTTCTTACGCATCTCAAGAACCCTGGCTTTTTCCATCGACCATCAAACAGAACATCTTATTTGGAAGTAGTTACAATGAAAATCGTTATTTAGAAGTTTTACGAGTTTGCGCTCTACTTGAAGAATTACGATTCTTAAGCGATGGTGATTCTGCTTTTGTAACTAACGGAGGAGCTAATCTAAGTAAAGGACAACAAGCTAGAATAAATTTAGCGCGAGCTGTTTATAAAGAACGTGATATATATTTATTAGATGATTGTCTGAGTAGTTTGGATGCGATTGTTGCAGATTTTGTATTTGAACAATGCATTAAAACATTTCTGAAAGACAAAATAGTGATCTTAGTTACTCCATCCATTAAGTACGCCAACAGGTCAGATAACGTCATAACAACAAAAAATGGTAAAATGCAAAACTCACACCCTATCCAGTGTGACATTCCAAAAAGTGTGGAAATAAAAAGGATGAAATATATTGAAGCAGATATAACAAGAAGCCAAAAAGAAGAGTCAACTGAGGAAGAAAACTTTAACCATGAAACCCCATTGCTTAAAAAAAGCAAAGAGACCAGAGAACTGTACACAGAAACAAAAGTACAAGGAAAAGTACAATTCGATACCTATAAAAACTATATTGAAGTAAATGGAGGTATGGCCAAAATTATTTTAGTCTTACTTATCACTGGAGTAATTCAATTTTTGAAAAGTTCCATCAATAAAATGGAATCCGTTTGGTAAGACCAAAACTGATCATTTCCGCTGACTGACTTGCACTTGTAGGATAAATGCAGAACAAGTATTGTTTAGCAATGCTACAGACAAGGAAATTTATACTGAGGCAAATCAGAAACGTCACCAAATGTTAATTATTCTACCTATAATTATTTCAACTACGACCATATTAATGTTATTGAATATATGTTTTTTCTGGGTGCTTGCTGCCAGAGCTTCTCTAAAGCTTCACAATTTACTTTTCTCTAATGTGATTCACAGTTTCATGGAATTCTTTGACAAAAATCGAATAGGAATCATTTTGAATAGATTTTCAGAAGACATATTGTACATTGATGAAGTAGTACCCTTAACGTTTTTTCATGCAATGAGTGTAAGTAGGTTAATTTTATTTTTTTAAGCAACGTATAATATTACTCGATTTTAGTACTTTGTCGGAGCAGTTGGAGTTATCATCCTCATAGCCACAGTTAATATAACATTCGTAATTCCTTGTATTCTGTTTAGTGTGTTAATAGTATTCGCACAAATGTTCTACTTAAAAACCGGAAATGCTTTAAAACGACTAGAATTCTTAAGTAAGCATTAATAGCAAAATGTTTAAAATGATAAATCTTACAATGTTAGCTCGAAGTCCTTTAATTGGGTACATAAATGCAACTTTAGACGGACTGACAACCATAAGAACCTCAAGAATGCAAGACACATTACGCAAAGAGTTTGACCAACATCAAGATTTGTATGCTTCCTGTTCCTACTTATATAGATGTTGTGAAAAAGCATTTCATTTTGTGGTAGCAACCGACGAAATTTTTCTCCTTATTTTTGCAATTATCCTTTTCTTAGCACTAAATGACAGTAAACTGAACTATTAAAAACTAGGTAATATTAATTAATACGAGGAATATTTTTTAGAAACGGCAGCAGCAAAAATTGGACTTGTTTTGTCACAAATATATAAACTGACTAATACGCAACATTTGCTATACCGTATGGTAACCAGACTTGAGAATCAAATGATAACAGTAGAAAGAGTTTTGGAATACACTAAACAAAAGCAGGAAAACAAAGATGGTTTAGTAGTAGAACACTGGCCCAGAGAAAGTGAAATACGATTCAAAGACGTGTATCTTTCTTACAAAAGCGACCAAAACTATATTTTAAAACACTTAAACTTCACCATCAAAAATAAAGAAAAAATGGTCATCGTTGGAAGAACTGGCTCAGGAAAAACATCTTTGATTTCTACGCTCGTTCGACTTTATGATTTCGAAGGAAACATTTTTATTGACAACGTAGACATCAAAGCACTTCCAATAGATTTCCTCAGGTCAAAAATATCTGTAATTCCACAAGAACCTACTATATTTTCGGGAACGGTACGTGAGAATATTGATCCGACAAGACAATATTCAGATGATGATATTTGGAAAGTTATTAGAACCGTGAATCTATCAAAGTTTCACAATTTGGATGAGAAAATTGACAGGGATTTGAGTGTTGGCCAAAAGCAACTGATTTGTTTGTGTAGAGCTCTCATTCGTCGTAACAAAATTGTCATTTTTGATGAAATTAAGGCTAGTGCTGATTTGGAAACTGAAGCTCTGATACAAAAAATAGTTTCAGAAAACTTTGCTGACTATACAGTCATTGCAATTATCCATAAATTACAATATATTCTAAATTTTGATTTAGTGTTAGTTGTAGATAAAGGTGTCATAATTGAATCTGGGGATCCATCTAGCCTGCTGAAAAGAAAAAACGGCATGTTAAGGAACTTGTTTAGTAGACAGTGAAAAGAAGAAAGTTATGAAACGGTATAACTTTATAACGGCATATCTGCTAATTAATTGGTTGTCAATATTGTCCTAAAAGAATCATTCGACGTTATCACCTGGAGATCATGGAGCCAACCATCAGTAATTTAATACTCCTACATTTTAACCGAATTTACAAATAAATAAGATTATAATTACCAGTACTACAATTTTATAAAACAACTTCAATAAATCATGCGTTTATTTCTTATTTTATGATAATTACTACATAACCTTTGCAATAACAGTTGAATAAAGTCGTCGTCAAATTGTGACGCTGTGAGCATGAACATTATAAGGCATCAAGTACGAATCGAATGTTTAATCTACGACACTTCTAAGGAAGATCTGGAGGTGGATTCACTAAGGGAGGCATTGTCCAAATTCTTGAATTTGTAGAAATCAATAGAAGTAAACAATCTTGATACAGAGAGTTTTAGACCTGGAATACAGGGATTCTCTGAAGACGACGATATCTAAATGGAAAGAGATGAAGATATTTCTTGCATGCCTTTCTTAAGACCTCATCCAACACCACCTAGAAACAAGGCCTGTGCGCAGAAACAAGATGGCGGAAATAGAAGGTTTGTTTACGTTTGGAAAATTCGACATCGAACTCATCGAAGCCGCATAAAATGTTACTGCAAGAAATAGAAAAGTATTTATTTAGATTATCCGCTTCAAATGGCATAAAATTACCGGATAATTGGAGTTACAGCATATAGTTCGGCAAAATCTGATGTTGTTAATGTCTTTAACCTCTCTTCAAAGAGGTTAGTTGTGTCTTGATATTTACATTATTTTTGTTTTTGCAGTAATTGTTTAGCAAAATGTTGGTCGTGCAACTGATTATAATCTTTTTTATATTAAATGTATCGTGTTTTTGACAGTTGTGCCCCAAAAAAAAGTCAGTATTTGACATGTTTTCAAATGTCACATTTCGAACAAATTGTTTTTGGTTTATTTCAGACAAAAAAAGTTCTTCGTTTGCTAAAAGTTTTTCCACAATATTCTGAAAGTTTGATCAGTCCAGACACAGATTGAGATATGGCATGATGGGTTTCTTTTGTTAATTTGCCATCTTCAAACGTTTTCCAGTGATCCAGCCACAATGTAAATTTATTTAAGAACTCATAAATTTCGGTTGAGTTTTTTGTCAATGGTTCTTGGAAGATGTTTCTAGATCTTTTGCCCTTTAATAAAGTTTTTTTGTGTTGACAATATCCCAGCATTGACAAAAAATAGATAAATGGCAGTGTCTTCAAAACTTATCAAATTTTTTCTACACCTGAAGAACAAGTTTTACATTTTGTCTCTCAATCGTAATGGGAAAAAGTGCCTCCAAGGAGAGTGTATAACCATACTTGAGCAGACTATCTTTTTCTACCAGATGTAAAGTTCTTAGTGCCTCAAACCGTGCTTCCCTTTTTATGGAAAAGTCATCGAAATCGGGATATACCATTATTTGGCCATTTTTTTGGTTCAGCCAATTGTTCCGGATGTTTTTCAAAATGTGCACTGTGTCAATAATGAAAAAAAGTGGTCGGTCATTATCTGCAGGGTGTTTATAGCTCTCACAAACTTGTGGTGGATTTGAAAAGAAGCTCATTGCCTTCCTGTTTATGGCGTTGTTATCAGTGACCACAGTTACTACTTTAAAGCCCATGTTTTCTAATTCTAATATAATTTTTTGTAGAAAACCATACAAAACTTCGGCCGTCAATCTACACGCTGGTAAAATATGTGCAACATCTTTATAACTTGATCGTATTGCACTTAACATGAAAACGTGAGCAGCAGTAGCACAATCTGCGCTGTTGTAAGACTTCCCCACAACAGTACCACCTTTGTAGTCCATATATGGTTTGATATGGATTTCATCTAATAACAATTTGCAACAATTTTGTCATTTTCATTTAGGAATTGCTGTTTCATTTTTATATAATGAAGAAAGTGGGCATTGTGCTGTTCTAATTGTGGATCTCCAGAAAATTTTGAACACACTCTTCTTATTGTTGTTGAAGATGGAAGTATTAAATTTCCTGAATTTTGTAAAAACTTATAACAATGTGGCGAAATTGAGTGTATTAAACTAGAAAATAAAACAGTTTCCCATGAATATCTGTGTCGGTTTTTTGAAGTTTTCAATAAATTCACTTGATCAGTTATCAATTTTATTGTATTGTGTGTCTCTGGTGGCAGTTCAGACAACAAACTATTTAATGTTTTATTAACTAAGTTCAGTTTTTCATCAACACCCTTTTCTATTGGGTCAGTCAATGATTTTCCAATTTCCTTTAGTCCATTTTCTAACTGAACTGCATTGGTCAAAGGCGAGAAAAAATTTAAAATGCTGCTTTCAACACTACCATGTAATAATATTAATTTCAATTCGTTTGAAATTTTCAAGCCACACTTTAACTCGAAAGAATTAGCATCTTGCAAAATGAAATACAGAAAAATTGCTTCGGGCTTAAATGAGGCGGTCCAATCTAATAGGGGATGTTTTGTCAAAAAATTAGTCACATCAGCAATATTGGAAAAGGTTCTCTCCTTCCAATATATTTCTTCAGAGGCAATGCTGGTTGCGATTGCTGACTGTACCATTTTACATTCCAGCCTCTGTCGTTTTCTCTCTGGAGAAATTCTTTTTGGAGGAATATTTTGAAAGGATGATCTTGAAGGGAGGGAAATAGGTGTTACATCTAGAAATAAGGAAATATTGAGGAATAGAGGAACGTTTGAGATTAGATTGGTTCTAAGAGCAGAAAAAGGATTTTGGAAAATTTTGGTTATGGAAAGTTTTATCGAAAACTCACCTTTTCTTAAACGAGGGCGATCTAAGGGTACTGCCATTAACTGGCCGGTTTCCTCACTATAAACTTCTTCACTTCTTTTTGCATCTCCTTCTTGAAAATGAAGTTCACATACCTAATAATAATAAATATTCCATTTGATCATTTGTAAGTTTATATTAACGCTTCTCTTGTACCGTACCCTATAATTTTTAATATTTTTATTCAGAAAATCCTTACGGCCTAATCGGTGTAGCCATTCGTTTTTCCGACTTTCCTCTTTTGGAAAGGAAAACAACGTTTTCTGGTCTTTACACTGATTGACACAACACTTAAAAGGCATTGTTCACTTAAAATTACAATGAGTAACAAATCAAATACACAAAAACACAAAACGAAAAACAATTATTCACAAAAAAAAACAAATACAATAAAAATATACCACAATACCAAATTCAAAAATCTTGCTTTTGCGCAGCTGCAGCTTGACGGCGATGGGTTGACGCTGTCTAGAAACCTACTATTGACGCCATCTTGACAAATCAATTCTTTAGTGGCAAGGCCTTGTTTCTAGGTGGCGTTGCCTCATCCCAGAAAAATCGAGAAAATTGTATGACATTCCATACAAACAGTTTATAAAACAGAGAACAAAAAATGACATTAATTCGTGAAGGTTACAATTCAAGAAAGCCAAGAACTCTCAGCTCAGAACAAATTCACTCGTTTATAATGCAAACCCCAGACGAACACTCTTTAGCAACCAAGGAATATCATCGTGAATTCCCAGTTCTTCTCTTTTTTCTGAAGGTTACTCTAATCATGAGAATGAGAATAATAGAAGCATGTCGAGCACAAGAACTTCATAAAATGCAGATTAAAGATTTAAATCTGTAAAAAATATCTACATTTACGACCAGCGGGTATATCATTTGAAGCATTCTTTTTAAATTATCAGAAAGGAAGGTGTACTATCCAAAGGATTGGCATGAATAAATTTGCTGCCATGGCGAAAAAAATCGCAACATATTTGAAGTTACCAAATCCAGAATTCCATTTTAAATAAAAGAAACACTTTCTCTCCACTATTCCTTATTTATTTTATTGATACCGGTTTCGGGTTGCTAATCCTTCATCAGCCAAACCCGGATGACCAGCCTGTCGAAAAATTACCGCTTATCCCTAATTTCTTCCCTATTTTTAACACTTTCTCAATATGTCCTAAACACCCTTTTAATAAGAATTTTCACTGTTGTGTTTAAATTACTCGTTAGCGACGCTATTTAAAATAAATGTCATTACGAACTTACGGGTTTTAAAATTACAGTTATTAATGTACGGTTATGCTTTTCAAATTTTTATTAGTTCCTTACTGTTTGAGAGCTCGAGGAAGAAGAAGAAGGGGTGTTTGAATTTGTCGACAGATATGTTCGGTTTTGGAGGGGTGGAAGCAGGTAAAGAAAAAGCGTTTAGAAATTCTAAAAACTGGAAAAGACGGCGGACGAAAAATATGACATAAATTATAAATTTTAAATCCATGCACCACGTATTTTTGGGGGAACGGTTGTTCCTACACAAGAAATTGAACAAGTAATTTCTTCAAATAAACCAACCAATACTATGAAAATAGAAAAAAATGTAGTTCGTCAGTTCAAAGAGTTTTGTGCCGAACAATGAACATATTTCTAAAATTCTGGAAGACCGGGCATTTAACATTCGTAAATTAGATGGGATTGACCTCGTACTAGTATATTTTTTATGAATTTTGGGATGATGTCACCAAAAATTTCTGTTGGGAATGAACAGGCAAATTTTGCTAAGCGTCTAGCACCTACCATGTTCCCTATAATATTAAAACGTTTGCAAGATTTCAGATCATGCGATTTTGCAATTTCAAAATTAAATTATAAAATGTCGTTAAACAATTTTGATTTTTTTTCCAAAAATCTGGACGCCTAGGTAAAAACTCAAGAAGGGTTCATAAACTACAAGTAGAGGAGTTTGTTATTTTAGAAAATTTAGTAACATTTACTTCTGTAAAAGTTGGAGATGATCAGACTAATTTTGGTAAGCGTTTTATCATTTAGACGATATTCCTAATATGCATAAGACAAAATTTGACAACAATCGGCCTCGAATACAATACTTACGCTCGGAAAGTAAGTAAAAGTAGTAAACTTTGAAATTTGTCGTAATTAGGTAACAAGCGTAGTAATTGTGGACCTTGTAGAATCCACTGTGCAGCTTTTATCGAAACTATCACACAGACAAGATAATTTGACCATATATCAATAATAAATTGTTTTAAGCGACTGTGTCTTTCTTATTATCTTGTTTTTAAAGTGAAAGCGTTTACTATATGCTGAAATATTATCAGCTTATCACACACATAAATGAATACAAGTATACCAACCGAAAAAATACTTAATGTTATTCCCATTTTCTTTAAGTAACACAACACTACGTGGCGATAAACAAATCAAGAGATACATTTAAATTATATAAAGATTAAATGGACTTTTGCAAGCCAAACAAAAAATCCGCTAATCCAGAGAAAAACGGCAATTGCTTTTTGAATTTATTTTTCTTGTAAGTTAAGAATCAACTAGAAAAACCACAACTTAATAAGTAATTTGAAATTTTAGATATACAAAGAATGTTTTCATCAATGGTTACAAAACCGAGCTCACTCAAAATGATATCTACGAAGTACTTCCAGAACACAAATCAAACACATTAGGAGACAAATTAGAAAAGGAGTGGAATATGCAAATAGATGAAAATAAGACTTCTATACCTAGACTTTTTTGGAAATGTTTTGGCAGACAATATTTTTTAATACTAATCAGCTTGGTCATTCCAGTGACAATAACGTATTTACGCTGAGGTAGAAATAATTTCATCACATTTTTAATTGCTTGTTTAGGTTAATCCTACCAAAGATACTAAAAAAATTCATATCATATTTTACACCAGAGCATACTAACCTAAGCAGAACGGATGCCAGTTTCTACGGAATAGTGTTGATTTTAGTGACAGTTATCAGACGTGTGTACCAGTACAATTTTCAGCTCAGGCTTTCAGAATTTGGCATTAAATTGCGTACTGGATTCACATCTTTAATTTACAGACAACTTTTAAAAATCAACCCGTCATTAGTTGTCAGTGGTAAAATGATAAATCTGATAACCCGAGATGTGAACGAATTTGAAGAAGCGATATATAAAATAACCAACACGATAAGAGACCTGTGTGTGCTTGTGACAGTTTGTTGTCTCCTATATTCTGAAATTGGGTGGTTATTTCTTATACTCATCGCAATAATTTTTGTTATCATGTTGATCAACAGTGAGCAGATAAAAACTAAGTTAATGATGTAGCTTTTAAATTTTTTTCAGCATGTCTAGCTATCTCAGTGAATAAACTTAAATTGAAATCGTTGACCAAAACTGATGAAAGATATCAGTTAATAAAAGAAGCATTAGGTGCAATAAAAGTCATTAAAATGAACCTTTGGGAAGAAAGTTATGAAAAAAAAATTGCTAAAATCAGAAAGTGAGTAAGTAGGTGAACAAATATCCGATTGTTCGTTTTTGGTTTATTTATAGGGAAGAAGTTCATCTTATACGCAATATAAACATCCTGCTCTTTCTAAAATTGGTACTCTCTGAATCAATTCACAACGCATCGTGGTATATACTTGTGACAGTATCCATATGGTTTAAGATCCAATCAAATGCCGGAACGTTATTTCTTATTATGAACAGTCTAAATGCTATTTCTGGTGCTTTAAAGCGCAATTTTCCAGCAGCGTTGCACGAAGTAGCTACATTAATTGCAGTATTTAAACGAATTCGACAGACACTTCAAATTAAGAGTGAAAAATCATTAAACCTTGAAGACAATAACGTTACACGAAAAATTAAACTGAATCTGAAAATTTACACTACAAATAACGATACATTATTAACTTTGAGAAACTGTAACATTGGAAGTGGAATAACGATAATTACAGGACCTGTTGCGAGTGGTAAAAGCCTTCTGCTAAAAGTTATCACAAAAGAATACAGAAATATAGAAGGCGACTTAGAAGTCGTTGGGAGCATTTCTTACGCATCTCAAGAACCCTGGCTTTTTCCATCGACCATCAAACAGAACATCTTATTTGGAAGTAGTTACAATGAAAATCGTTATTTAGAAGTTTTACGAGTTTGCGCTCTACTTGAAGAATTACGATTCTTAAGTGATGGTGATTCTGCTTTTGTAACTGACGGAGGAGCTAATCTAAGTAAAGGCCAACAAGCTAGAATAAATTTAGCACGAGCTGTTTATAAAGAACGTGATATATATTTATTAGATGATTGTCTGAGTAGTTTGGATGCGATTGTTGCAGATTTTGTATTTGAACAATGCATTAAAACATTTCTGAAAGACAAAATAGTGATCTTGGTTACTCCATCCATAAAGTACGTCAGTAGGTCAGATAACGTCATAACAACCAAAAATGGTAAAATGCAAAACTCACACCCTATCCAGTGTAACAATCCAAAAAGTGTGGAAATAAAAAGGATGAAGTATATTGAAGCAGATATAACAAGAGGCCAAAAAGAAGAGTCAACTGAGGAAGAAAACTTTAACCATGAAACCCCATTGATTAAAAATAGCATAGAGACCAAAGAACTCTACACAGAAACAAAAGTACAAGGAAAAGTACAATTCGATACCTATAAAAATTATATTGAAGTAAATGGAGGCATGGTCAAAATTGTTTTAGTCTTACTTATCACTGGAGTAATTCAAGTTTTGAAAAGTTCCATCCATAAAATGGAATCCGTTTGGTAAGACCAAAAATTGATCATTTCCACTGATTGACTTGCACTTGTAGGATAAATGCAGAACAAGTACTGTTCAGCAATGCTACTGACAACGAAATTTATATTGAGGCAAATCAAAAACGTCAGCAAATGTTAATTGTTCTACCTATAATTATTTCAACTACGACCATATTAATGTTACTGAATACATGTTTTTTCTGGGTGCTTGCTGCCAAAGCGTCACTAAAGCTTCATAATTTACTTTTCTCTAATGTGGTTCACAGTTTCATGGAATTCTTTGACAAAAGTCGAATAGGAATCATTTTGAATAGATTTTCAGAAGACATACTGTACATTGATGAAGTAGTACCCTTAACGTTTTTTTATGTAATGAGTGTAAATAGGTTAATTTTATTTTTTTAAGCAGCGTATAATATTACTTGATTTTAGTACATTGTCGGAGCAGTTGGAGTTATCATCCTCATAGCCACAGTTAATATAACATTCCTAATTCCATGTATTCTGTTTAGTGTGTTAATAGTATTCGCACAAATGTTCTACTTAAAAACCGGAAATGCTTTAAAACGACTAGAATTCTTAAGTAAGCATAAATAGCAAAATGTTTAAAATGATAACTCTTACAATGTTAGCTCGAAGTCCTTTAATTGGGTACATAAATGCAACTTTAGACGGACTGACAACCATAAGAACCTCAAGAATGCAGGACATATTACGCAAAGAGTTTGACCAACATCAAGATTTGTATGCTTCCTGTTCCTATTTATATAAATGTTGTGAAAAAGCATTTCATTTTGTGGTAGCAACCGACGAAATTATTCTCCTTATTTTCGCAATTATCCTTTTCTTAGCGCTAAATGACAGTAAACCGAACTATTAAAAATTAGGTAATATTAATTAATAATCTTTTTTAGAAACGGCAGCAGGAAAAGTTGGACTTGTTTTGTCACAAATATATAAATTAACTAATACGCAACATTTGCTATATCGTATGGTAACCAGATTTGAGAACCAAATGATAACAGTAGAAAGAGTTTTGGAATATACTAAAGAAAAGCAGGAAAACAAAGATGGTTTAGTAGTAGAAAACTGGCCCAGAGAAAGTGGAATACGATTCAAAGACGTCTACCTTTCTTACAAAACCGACCAAGACCATATTTTAAAAAACTTAAACTTCACCATCAAAAACAAACAAAAAGTAGCCATCGTTGGCAGAACTGGTTCAGGAAAAACATCTTTGATTTCTACACTCGTTCGACTTTATGATTTCAAAGGAAACATTTTTATTGACAACGTAGACATCAAGACACTTCCAGTAGATTTCCTCAGGTCAAAAATATCTGTAATTCCACAAGAACCTACTATATTTTCGGGAACGATACGGGAGAATATTGATCCGACAAGACAATATTCAGATGATGATATTTGGAAAGTTATTAGAACCGTGAATCTATCAATGTTTCACGATTTGAATGAGAAAATTGACATGGGTTTAAGTGTTGGCCAAAAGCAACTCATTTGTTTGTGTAGAGCTCTCGTTCGGCGTAACAAAATTGTTATTTTTGATGAAGTTAACGCCAGTGCTGATTTGGAAACTGAAGCTTTGATTCAAAAAATAGTTTTAGAAAATTTTGCTGAGTGTACAGTCATCGCAATTATCCATAAACTACACTATATTCTAGATTTTGATTTAGTATTAGTTGTAGATAAAGGTATCATAATTGAATCTGGGGATCCGTCCAGCTTGCTGAAAAGAAAAGATGGCATGCTAAGGAACTTGTTTCGGAGACAATGATGGAAGAAGGGATAATTTAAATTAAAATAATGATTTGATTATTATCGATATTGTCATAAGAGAATCATTCAACGTTACCACGTGTAGGTCATGGAGTCAGTCATCAGCAATATAATACTATATTTTAATCCAGTTGAGAAATAAATATGGTTACAATTGCCAGTACCACAGTTTTATAAAATACCTTTAATAAAATATATGCATTTATTTCTTATTTTATGATAACTACTGCATAATCTTTGCAGTAACAGTTGAGTAAATTCGTCATCAAGTTGTATTAACGCTGTGAGCATGAACATTATAATAGTATATTATTATACGAGCACATAATATAGGCTATACTTATAGCTATTAAGATAACTAAGTGTTTTATAGGTGCTTTAAAGGACGCGGTCCCAGTTTAAATCCGAGCGACCGAAGGGAGCGAGGTTTTAATGGGACCGAGTCCTTTCAACTATAAAACACCGTGTTATCTTCAATATTTTTTCTAACACTGAAGCTTATTTGATCCGAAATCGTCTGTTATTAATATTTTATCGGGAGATTTTTAGTGAGGCAAAATGTTTCTTGAGGCTGCCGTGGGTAGTAGTCATGGTAATAGTATCAACAAATTTTGAAAAAAAATTTTGTTCGTCAAAATGTGTGAACGCCTTTCAATCGGAATATTAGAAAAGGCCAATGAATTACGCACCAAATTATTACCCGCAAAATCAAAAAACGCTTATGAGAAGGTGTACGTGGCTTTTAATCAGTGGACGTCAGAAAAAGGTGTAAAAGAAGTGACGGAAGACGTTATTCGGACTTTCCTTGATGCAAGCGTAAGTACCAGTTTTAGGCTGGGTTTATGCTCATCTATCATATATCACCTATACATTTAGCATTTTTAAATTTTTTAAACAGTAGTAGCGACGATTCCAATGTAGAGGTCAGCAACCAGATTAGATGTACAAAGCTGGATTCCGCCTTCGAAAGCAGCAGAGACAACCAACATCAACAACAAGAATTCACCCTTCAAGAGAAATGGAAATTTATATTTTAATAATTGTAGTTTTGTATTCAATAATAGTTATTTATGTATTAAGGGCATAATCAGGGAGAATGTGGCACGAGGGAATGTTTAAAGCCCGACGAAGGAGGGCTTTTAATTTCCCGAGTGCCACAATCGACAATTATGCACGTGGTACATACAACATTTTATTCTATTTTAGTTTCTAAACTATTTTTAACGAAATATTGAGTATTTTCGGCAAGACTGTGTGAATTGTGCCGATGCGAATTTTAATACATAGCTGGCTATTATTTTGATGTTGTTATGGATACCACGTTGATATTTGATAATTCGTTTTTCAAAATGTAAATTAAAGAAGCGGAAAACCTTTATTCAAACGAAAGTTTAGAAGAATTTGAAGTCGGTCAGGTAATGATTTGATAAAATATTATTTTTCTAACTTAAGAAAAACGTTGAATATCGAAGCGTGTTTGAATAATTAATTGATTAGTGTAAATGAACAATCAATTGTTGCTTAGCAATTTTTGACAGATTTGTGCTAAAAAGGCCAATTTAAGCCCGCATTTGGGTGCTTATAAATAAGATTATGGTTCTAAAATAGAATAAATAAATGTTACGAAAAATGAAGCAGCGTACTTTAAATAGTATAAAGGACGTTACCATTGACAACGTACTTTATAAAGAACAGTGGATTTATAGATACCTTTGTGGTCGAGCTTAAATGAATCTTAGAAGCGATTTAAAATGTCAGTGTTAGAAAAAATTAAGAGGAATAAGATCATCCGAGTGCATAATGCCCATTATATGCGAATCGAATACTTACAACGTTTTATCAATCACTTCTGAGGAAGATCTGGAGGTGGACTCCCCTGAGGAAGCAGTTGAACATCTCTATACTATAAACTTAAAAATTCTCAAGGTTAACTTGATTTTTTTAAATAGTCTAGCTAAATTGTCAATTTATGAACAGAAAGAGTTTTAAACGTAAATACAGAGATCCTCAAGACGATGTCCAAATTCTTGACGGAAATAAGTATTGACTCGCCGTAAATACGCAACCAACATTACAAGATGTGAAACAATTTTGTGCATCGGTAACTAAGCTAGCTTTGCAATTGTTTCGTACTTCCACATGTCTTTGTTTCCAAAATCAAAAATTGTACGTTGTCGTGCGTAATTTTGTGATTTCCTGCGTTTTCCTTTGTGTGTTTACATTTCAATGGAAAGTAATGAGGATATTTCGGGCACGTCTCCACAAATCGCAAAACCAGCGAAAGAGATAACTTCTTTACATCGTATCCCCAAAAGATCGAGAAAAGTGTGTGTAATTAAATTAAATAAAAATCATTCATGAAATGGAGAAGAACGAATAACATTAATATTTGTTTTCGGAACGGGTACTTATGTTATTTCGAGGGGTAAACCGCCGACCATCAAGTGTACAATTGATTTCCTCTTGACAATGATTGCCTGTTGATTTCCCCCGATTTCTTTTGATTTCCTCTGATTTCCTTTGATTTCCTCTTGATTTCCTCTTGATTTACTTTGATTTCCTGTGGTTTCCTCTTGATTTCCTATGATTTCCTGTGATTTCCTATTGATTTCCTATTGATTTCCTTTTGATTTCCTGAACATTTGTTTACATACTGTACTACAGGGCGATTCTTAACTTTTTTTTAACCTGACTTTTTTGTTTTGCCGATAACGATATAGAATTTAAACCTTTTTTTACCAAGTGTTTACTAACGTAAGGTGACTAGGTAAGCTGAAGTGCTTTCCCTTTAGACGAAAAAAATAAATAAATAAAATGTATTGTGCTGCTAAGCAACAAACTGAAATGTTTAAGAAAAAAAATCTGATTTTACTTACAAAAAGAACGCTACTCTAAAATCGAGGTTTTAGATGTCTAAATCAATAGAGTAAGTATACGTTCGAATTTTACACTTTCTTGGGTCAAATGTTTGTTCTAAAAGAGATTTTTTGCACATTCAGTCAGAAAACCTTATGGTCTATTTTAATTTTGAAATTAAAAATGTCTGGTGTGTACAAATTAGTTCGTTTAAATCACTCAAAGATTTAATAAATTATATTATATATTATTATTATTTTAATACATTATATTATGAAATTTTGCTTTTGACTTTACGAAATTAAAAGTACGTGAGACCAAGGATATTTTTAGTTACGTCAGCAGTTTTTACGTATCAGTGACTCATACTCATAAGGCAACAACGATTGGCTCATACGCTCACAGAGGTAATTAATGAATACCAAATAGTCCAAAATCATTCTATTAGGTTCATCTCTGTGTTGTGCATACAAGATCATGTTAAAGTTTGACCTATTAAATCAAACTTATAATAATAACTTAAGTCATTACTTCTTAAAAATTGGGTTTATTCATTTATTATGGTAGCTTAAACAGAAAAAACAAGTAGTTTCATTTATTTTATTAAATGTTAAAAAAAACGGTAACTCTAAACATAAAAGTAAAGCATTTCTGTTGGATCATAACAAAATATCACAAAATAAAACAACTTCTTAAAAAATACTTACCCCATAACCTGGGTCGAGATTTGTGTATATATTGTAGATGATATTGAAGTAAAAAACTGTGCTAAATTCTAGCTACCCATAAATACAGATGATAACACTTTTAATTTTTTGTTCACAACTTTCAAATGAAGCATATTAGAAAAAAACTTTTGAAATGCAAAATTTAACACGTAAGAATTTTTTTTGCACAATAAAGGAGTGGATAACCCCACTTGATAAATTTTCGGAAGTAATTTTCCCCTTTAAAAGTGTTCATGGCACCTAGAATTTTGCACAGTTTCTTACTTTAGTATTCTCTACGATACATACTTGTACAAATCTCGACCCAGGTTGAGGTTACATTATTACAATTTTTGATCACATCACTTAAAAAAAAATAGAATTAAATCAAATATTTTTTCAATAATTTTTTTGCAAAAACTATACTGCCTCTTCTGAGTACCTGAGGTGGAGGTAGTTTCATTATATATTCATTTTCTTGGATCTCCCCCTGATCTTAATGTCCGGAAACATAAAAGCATTTGGAATTTTTGGATTCCTTTTCAAAAAATCACAATAAATAGGGTTAAGTGATAACACTTTACCAATGTAACATTTTTTATTTTGTTTTTGAGTTGTTAATTGTACTATAATATAATCGTCTATATTTAAGTCTGGTTTAGAACGATCAGTCTTACTATTTTCAGCCTTGAGATTCAAACGAGGATTCAAATCTTCAGAATAATTGGAAGAATTCAAACTTTCGGTGTCCGTGCTGTCATCATATTCGATACTACTTGGGTTGTCTAAATCAGATGAGTCACTTGATATATTATAGCGTCTTTTTTGTTTTCCAATTTGGACTGGTTTTTGAATTTGAGATGCATCTTTATGTTGAAGGCAGGAATCTGTTTCTAAGTTAACTCTACTACTATTACATTTCTTATTTTGAATAAATATTTTGAGACGATCCACACTGACGCGATCCTTTTCATTGTCTAACAGCCAGCAAAGTGAAGACTTTTTTATAACTTTTGTTGTATTATCTAAGCGTATTCTGACTAGATCACCTTTCTCAACAAAATTATCGTCACTATCAAAACTTCTAAGGTGTATGCCTCTGTCAAATTTCTTAGATTCGTACGAAATTGTGCAAAGATCATTCAGTAAATCTTCATCTTGGTCAACTAGATCGTTTTCCAAACTTTGAAATCAGTTACGTTTCATAGCTATTTGAGAATTGTTGTAATTTTCAATGTGATCGCACTGTTCTTCACTAAACATTTCATCTTCAACTTCGTCATTGCATTCATTGTCTTTACACGGAGGCAAAAATACATAGTTGAAATCTATCACTTTCATTCCTAAATCTTCAGTGTCACGCAGACAATCCCGTAATGCTGATTCTACGGTGCTTTGTATATCTTTATCTGAAATGTTTCCTAAGTCATCATTT